TGAATAATTCAACCCCCTCACCCTTTCCCAGCAGATAAAGCAATTCACTTGAAAAAATTGCCAGTTTCTACCTATCGGCCTTCATATCCATGATCAGAGTAACTTAACATTTCTACAAACACATAATTAAAATATATTATTTAAAAATGCTGTGGAAAGTTTTCTGGAAAACCTTCAGCAATTCTGCACTCATGGCTGAAGGGGAGCAGTTAAACAGTTGTGTTGAGGTGCAGCCTCCATTTGTTTTGCCTCAGCACTTGAGTGGTACAAAAGTAATTTAATGGAAAACGCAGGGAGATGTAGACGTGTCAAGAGGTGCCTTCTAGTCTGGAAGAAGGTGATCACTTGTGTCACAGATCTCATCAGAGCTCTTCTGTGTTGTTCCCCCCGTTCTCCCTATTATTCCTATAGGGCAGGTGGAACATTATGCGGTGTGAATGCGTCACCTGTGGAGTATCAGAAGTTTCTCAATATGGGTAGCCATCCTTGCTACTGTTGTGTAGCATACACCACTACGCTGTAGGAAGCAACAGCTTCTAGAATATCATGAGCATAGCATTGACCTCAAATACTATCTTTCGAAGTAATATGAAAACACCATCACAGAACCAGCTTGGATTGCAGGAAAAGAAAACCTAAGGAGAAGACTAAAGTGTGTTGTGAATGAGAGGAAGATGACAGGGATGCCTACAGCGCTGGGAGTCAGACAACATGGCAGGATTAGACCAGGAGGATTTAGGTCTGTCAGAGAGTAGCTATTCTGCTAGTAAAAGTGATAACCCTCTGAGTTATCACCGAGGTCCCAGCTCTAACACTGAGCACTGTCGCTATGCCTGTGAATTCTCATATGGTGACTTTTTGCTTTTCAAGTGTAGGATTTTTGCAGATTAGGTAAAGGCTTCTTAGCAAAGATAAACACCGATTTACCAGAATTCAGAAGTTCCACAAGGAAAGTAAGTATCTCCTTAAAAAAAAAGAAAAAGAAAGGTTTCGACATTAGGGTTGCGAAACTGGGCATTTCCTAACTTTGGAGTTCCAGAATTTTGTTTGCTTGGATTGCTTGGATAACCTTTGTGTATACAGAGACTAAGCCCAAATGCAGTTTTATCGTGTTGAGTAAAGGGAGAGGACCTAGACCTCAGAGTATTTGATGGCAGAATTATTTATTAAGAATTAATAAAATTAATTGATAAGATTTGCTGAACTGGCATCTGCAAAATACGACACATTCTACCCCCAAATATCTCTCCGTGCCTGCTTGCCCTTGCACCATAGAGGATGGGGGAAGGATAACTGTCATCTTCCCATTGTTGGTTCTCCAAGGTTGTTAGCTCTTCCGTTGCTCGTGTTTTGGTATGAGGCATCAGTCCAGGGCAGCAAATCTGCCAAGTACTCAGATGATGCAGACCTAAGCAGATGATGCTGGGGCAGATGGTTTTCCATCTCAGCAGAAATCAGCATCTTCCATCCAACTCCCTGCTCTTGTTATTTGTGTTAATTTTACATCGGCTGTTCCCTCATAGAGCTTAGGCAACCTGAGTATTTTCTTTATGTAACAGTTTGATTTTTAGCTCCTTTGAGACAGCAGAAACTTACGCCTCATCTCATTTTAATTTCCCCATCTGCCCGTGAACTAAAATTATTGCTGTCAACAGGAATCTTCACAGCTCTGAAATTCCAGCTGTGTTCTGCAAGACTGACCAGAGGTCTGTTACTTTTTTTTATTCTGTGTTTGTGTACCATCGATATAAGCATCATGTAAGCAGTGTATGCATTGTTCTGCCCCAATTCATTAAAATACATTGATGTCAATGTTTTTGATTATGTTTTTATACATTAAAACGTGAAAAAGCTTCAGTCTGCCTAAGTCAGAAAACTACTACTGGTTTTTATCAATTTTATGGAAAACAGTTGTCAGGTTAATTAGATTTAATAATGTAACTAAGCATTCAGTTTTTCTATGTTATTTCTTAAGTGTTCTTTTTAAAAAAAAAAAAAGGCAAATTGCTTGATTTTAGGAGTAAAACCTAAAACCTTAGGAGACCTAACTTTTCAAAAAATGCAAAGTACTCAGATCTAATCAAAGCAAGTGAACACTGATGGAGCTGAGCTAATTTGGAAATTAGGCCGTTGTTATTTTTCTTGCTCTTTCTCTTCCCCATGTATTATATAAAAACAGGTTCATATTAGATTATGGTTGACTTCTCAGAGGAGATGAGTGAAGGAGTTATTCCAGATAATTTTCAGCACAGGGAGAGGAGAGTAATTAAATTGAAGGCTAAATCAGAGAAGATCCTGAGTACGTTTTCATCTCTTCTCAAACTAATAGGATTTGAGAACTTAGTGGATCTTGCATGATTTGGTACTTAACATTCGCTGTGATCTATCCCTCCCCCTTTTTAAATGTGCAGACTTTCTCCCTGTCAGCAACAACAACAAAAAAGTAAAACTTTGTAATAGAAAAGGGAGCTATCTTGCAAAGCCGAACGATGAGAATGAAGTGGCAGATTTCTAATTTCTGTAGCCAGAGAAATTCTCCAGAAACACAGGAAAATAAGCGGTAACTGACCCAGCTGGGCTTTTTTTTTTTTCTTCTCCTTTGAAAGATAATGTAGTTTGTTTCAGATTTTGTTCTCATTTTCTGTTTTCTGAGGAAGGACAGTTAGCCCAAGAGCATAACCATGGCAACGAGGATGCTTAAGATTTTCAATCATGAGGACATCGGTTTGGTCATTATGTTTTATTTTTAAGGCCCAGAAAACTCACAGGACATACAGAATTTTTCTCTGGAATACCTCTCCTATATAATATTTTACACAGATGATTGCTTATTTTGGGGACTGGCACTGTGTAATTTGTTTTAACATTTTGTTTTTATAAAAAGGAAGGACTTAAGGGAGAACCGTTTGCTCTGTGAAGGTCTGCAAAGAGTGTTTTCAGTAATTCATGGATTGTGTGATTAAAAAGGCACTAATAATATACAGAAATATTCACCAAAAACCTTTTTCAAAGAAGTGGTTTTCCATTATGTGTCAGTTAAAATTGCTAACCTGCTTTTTCCTTAATCCTAGGACTCTTATTCACTCTCTAAATATTTGTTTGCAAAACTGCTTGCATCAGGATGTCTGTGAATGGGATACTTTGCAGCTCTGGTGAATGAGGAGAGCAAAACATGGAATTGCTTATGTATAACTATAAGCAGGAAAGATGCGAGACAGAAAAACAGGCATAGTAGATTTCCTAAAAATATGATGCCTTAAAAGCCAAAATGGCTTACATGGTCCATTAGAAAAATCAAATCTGACCCAAAGTGGATACCAGGGCTTTATATATATATATATATGTGTGTGTGTGTGTGTGTGTGTGTGTGTGTGTATATATATGTATATTAATCCCATGTTCACCTTAAGCAAGCTTCTTGTTGTGTAGAGATCCTATTTAGGGGGGAAAAAAGTATATATATATTTTTTAACCTTGCTTGTAATATTAAACTGAACGAAGTATAATGGCTTACGATATATTTGTCCATCCTGTATGCAGTCATTTCCCTGCTGTGGTTGTGCCTGTGAATAGCTCTGGTCTCTGCAGAGCCCAGCGGCTCCTCACCTCTGCACCTGAAACCCCCAGACCTCTTCCTCCCAGAGAAGCTACCGGTGTTGTGCTTCTCATACTGCAAGTTCTTGCTGCAGCTGCTGTTGAGAGTTTATTTCTCTGCTCCTTAGTTCCTCTTCCTCTGAAGTGTTTTTTGTTTGTTTGTTTAGGATTTTACATTCTTTCTTTGCTTAAGATCCTCTAGGTTTTCTGGTTGTCTTGGCTTGTGACAGGTTTAGTAGCAGCATCTTACTGGTTTCTCAGGTCATAGCACAGTGTAACGTGGTGCATTTGGAGCTTTGCTTTGAAGGGCATGTTGCTTTTTGCTCCTCCCTTGAGCGTACAGCCCTATGGAGGTCCCCACATATCCATCGTGTTGCAGTAATCTCATGGTTAATGGATGCAGTCTCCTCTGAACAGTCCTTGCTCAATGCAAATACTTGCCAGACTACTTGCAGTCACCTAGGAGTGATTATTGGAGACTCTGTAAGATGGCCCAAAAAGAAGTATTTAAGCATCTTCTCACCTCGTTTCTGTACATAATGTGCTAGCTCTTTGTTTTGTTACCGTTTTTCATTCCCCTCCATCCCCAACCTAAGAGCATTAGTAGCGTAAAAAAACTTTGCTAAAAAAATAGATTTCTGTTACTGAGATTTCAAGAATGAGAGATGGAGTAGATTTTTATCACTGATATTTAAAATTAGTGCTGCATTTAAGAGTATTATTTCTGATGTCCTTAGCACTCTGAATGTAAGCTTCGTGATTTTGTTATCCCAGTTTGGATGTTTCACAGCGCTGTGAGTTTTTACTATTAAAAGTAAGGAAAGATGCCAATTAAAGTAGGATTTTATGTAGCAAACACAAGTGACAATTCAGAATATTTATGCTATGCATTCTAGATAAAAATAATTGCTTTTAGTAATTGCACGTTTATCGCATAACATATGACATCTTTTTAAGAGTCATATCTCCACCAATTAATGTACTTTTTGTCCAAATGAAACTATGCCGACAGCTGCAGAAGTATTTCAAGATAACACAACATGCTGGTTTTGGGAATGCTCTGCCTGCTTTCTCTTCCACTTCTTGTTCTTTTCCTCTCTCCACAGTTTCATTTATTTCTGCAACAAAACAGAAGAATGTTCTCAGTGGTGTTTCTCAGCAACTCTTCAGTGTGTGGAAAGTGTGGGCAGCCTCTGTATTCAGCATCCTGGAAAATGTGTGTTCCCTTGAAGTGATCTGCTCAAAGCGCATACTCAGGAGGTTGTCCAGCCCGCCTTGCTGCACTGCTCAACAGCCCTGAAATGCCTGGTTTCTAGTAGTCCTTGGAACTAGGGTTTCTTCTGCTGAAGAGGCTGAAGAGGCAGCTGTGGTTATCTGAGGATTATCAGACAGCAAGGACACTTAACATGGCTCTGAGCATCATATGTGCGGTGTGGGCACTGCTGCTGGAAGTGGCGGTGGCGTTTGGTCCAGTACCACGGATCACTTGGGAACACAGAGGTAAGAAGAGGAACCCTCATAGTGTCTGGTGCATCAGCCTGGGTGTCTGTGTGGATCAAAGCATGCTGCATCTACGTGCGCTCCCAGCCTCCTTGGGAAGTTTCACACAGTTGTGGCTGGGCTTGCTCAGCTCCTGAAGTGCTTGGGACTAGAATTAGAATACTGAAAAGTGACTTGGGCACTTAGTTGCGACTGGAGGTATTTCAAATTAGTTCTGGAAAGACATTTTGTTAAAGGAGGAATTTCAAATTGAACTTTCTCAGCCGGAGGACCTTGAAAGTGAAACGGAAGTGAACTTATGTACTTTCTTTTAATTGCATTGTTTTCACATTCATAGCATAATGTGTTTCTCTAGCCAATAATTATTTGTGACTTTTTTTTTTTTAAGAATGAGGTGCAAGTATAGTGACTCTAAAAAATTACCAAGTGGAGGAAGGATAAGCATTTGACCATCTTCCAACTACGCCTACATGTTGAAACAATCTAGCCTTTCTTCCTCTTTTTTTTCCTTTTTTTCTAACAGAATATTTTCTGTATTTGATTTTTCAGCAATTATTCATAACTTTTTCATAACCTTCCTTTTTCAGAAAGTATCCATAACTTCTGTAAGAGGATCACACATTCCCTTGGAATGAACACTATTACATATTCCCTTGAGATCCTGTTAGAAATCCTAGCCTGGGTCAGAACAGAGGTCTAGATCAAGAACTGTAGCTGCTTGCTCCTGTTCATGAGTGTGTCTTTCTCTTTTGCCTTTTTTCTCTCCCTTTTCCTTTTTTTTTTTTCTCTGTTTTTATCCTCGTGGCATATATTTGCTTGTTTTTAGTTCTTAAAGGTTTTGTCTTTTTCCCTTCCTCTAACCACTCATAGGAATTAGCAGTCACTGCTTACCAGGTGTGCTGTGACAGACAGCAAATATGGACTATGAAGAAACAGCTAAGGGAAAATGTTAAACTCTGAAAAGCCCAGCTGTAGAAAGAGATAGATGGGGTTCAGGAATGCAGTAACAATAGGCTGGTTCATGAGACAGCTCTAAAACACGTTTTTCCTGATTATTGTTATATCAATAAATGAGGTGCTGATGTACTCTTTCCTTTTTTTTAGTTACTACTGAGACTTCTTGATGGTCCTGTGTAATATATTAGTTAAAATTTGGCAAGTTACTGTTTAGTGGCAGTACTACTAGTTATAGAATTCACTACTGACCTAAATTCAGGCTACTCCAAATAGCAGGATTGAAAATAAATGCCAGTTATTTCTGACAGTCTCTGTCAGCTAAAGATTTTTTTTCATTTAAACACGAGAAGCCTACTTTGTAAGTATGGTTTAGATGAGTGGAGGAATGAACGTGTGAAATTGTACATGTTCATCCTTTTGGTGGAAAGTTTCCTGCCAAGTAAGACTTCTAAATGAAAAATCTGCTTTAAAATAAATGTTCCCAAAGTCTCCTAGTTGCAAATGTGCAGTACTGATTACTAAAACTGGAAGTGATAATAGATTATTTTGTGCTTATATCTTTAAAAATGTCTCCCTCAACTTCAGTAGTTCTTCTACACTGATAGTACATGCAGAAAAAAAAATAAAGCTGTGTATTAATCAATTTGTATCATCTTTCACCAAGCCATTCTGTTCCAGCTTGCACACTTTCTCATTCCACTGTTACTTTTTCCCATGTCTCCCTGTTCCCCTTGTCTGCTTTCTTTTCAACTTGGTTTTCCTTTATGTTAGTTGTTTTTACCCCTGTTCATTTTACCTCCAATCTCCACTTCAAAATGAGCTTATTCACATACTCGAAAGGGAACCTTTTTGCTTCTCTTGGTCTTCTTTCTAATATGGTTATAAATTCAATATTCTTTGGTGAGGTAAAGGAATTTTTATGATATTGAGGAATGTGCAAGGAATGTAGTAACTTTTCAAAATTTTGCACGGTAGGTGTGCGTGTAGAAGGGGAAGGTGAGTAAAGAGATGGTAGTGGATGTGAAGTGTAAAATGGGAGGGTAAGGGGGAAAAAATGAATTAATGGGCCAGAAACAAAGATAAAAAAGGAAGGGAGAGTTGAGTTATGACCACAGGAGGAAATGTTTAGGCATTTTCAATTGAACTGGCAGGTGGGAGTGAGGGTTTTGGTGCAGACGATGGTGGGTGCTGTTGCTGCTGAATCAGCTCCTGAGAGACGTCTCATCTCTCCTGTGGATTGTCGGGACTAAGATTTGCTGCTTTCAAGTTATCAAATGAATGTTAGAAAGCTTAGAAAAATGACCCATAAACTTGACCTGAAGCAATTGTGTTTCTTCACATGGTGCCCTTTTCCTTTCATTTCAACAGAGGTCCAACTAATACATTTTCATAAACCAGAAGTGTCAAACTATTCAACCTTATTGCTAAGTGAAGACAAAGATGTCCTGTACGTAGGAGCCAGAGAAGTGATCTTTGCATTAAACTCAATGAATATTGCTGAAAAGCTGCATGAGGTCAGTAAACATTTCAATACACTGTGTTCTGTTTTAAAAAGAAAAAAAAATCCAAAATTTACTTCATTTTCTAATACTTCAGATATTGAATCTTTAACAGAGAAGATACTCTGCGGGTTTTTGCTAGTTGTGTGTTATTTCTAATAGACAGTTTGTATAACATGTCATCAAATAAGAGGAAGAAATGACAAATTAGGAAAGAAACAAGTTAATATAGGTCTTCCAAAGTATTTTCTTTTGAGGAAAGGATGCCAGATTGAAAGGACCTTTGGTGTAATCCGGTATGGTGGTTCTTGCACAAATTTTTATTACTGGGCCTTCTTCCATTAATCTAAACTGGAAAGAAATATGATTTGAAATGGAAGCAAAGTTGGAGCTATACTCAGAAGTGGAGAGCTCCTGTCCCTAGAGCCTGGTGGTGGCGGCTTCAGATGGGCATTAAATGTGCCGAGAGCCCTGTCCTTTAGGTCTTCTGTTCTGTGTCTCTAGATGTGTCTGCACAGCAAGCTGCGGTGTGGAGAGGTCTGATCCAGCTTGTTCACAGCTGGCTCAGCTGCCAGGAGCACTCTGCTTGTGCTGGCACTGGCTTCTCGAGGAAGTTAAGTCCGTGCAGAAGTCTGCTAACAAGTTACATTGCTTTGGGTCCTCCCTGAGCTTCTCTTTCTCCCTGCCTTACCAGTGCATGCAGGCTCAACATAGAATCCCCCGCAAAATGTTTTGGGAAGGCACGCCTGTGTGTTCATGTGTTTGTGCATATATATATGTATTAAAATTGAGAAGTTACTTAAAAAAGTTTCAGTTACGTTTCCCTAAGTTATATGGTCATATGAGAACTTATTAGCAAATTGAGGGGAATCATGATGATGAACCCTAGAAGATTCAGAGCTCCCCTAGTGTACGTGGATGTGGAAATGTGGCCTCCCCAGAGTGGGGAAAGGTTTTTGAATCTTTGAAAGATGTCTGCAGAATTACTTGCATTTGCAGCAGATAGTCTTCACCAAATTATCTGTTCTGGGATAGATAATTGCATGAGAAGGGACTGAAATGTCATAATTAAATTATAAGTGCTTTGAATTTGCCTTTTTGTTGCTTGTTTTTCATTTAGTTTCCCTGGGAGGTCACTGAAGATAAAAGGATGAAATGTGCTGTCAAGGGCAAATCAGAACAGGTATGTTCATTGAACTTTGAAACTGATACTATACACCTCCTTTTAAGAGAAATGGTGTTAGAAGGAAAGTTCTAACTGTTGGAAATTCGGAATTCAGATTAACCCTACAGTTCTTTAAGCTGAGCTTTCAAAGCTGTTGCATGCCTTTTTTTGTTTGCTTTTATTTTCTAGTTCAATGTTTTGGGTGAATCTGTATTTAAAAACAAACAAACAAAATCCTTAACAAAAACCCTTATTTTTAAGATTGACAGTTCAACTCTTTCGGTTAAGCTAATAAACTTAAATTACTGGCACTGCCATAGTTGGTAGCAATACAGCTTTGTTATTAAAATAAATCCTCCCCAACACTGGATTTTACAAAACAGCCAGTAATTTGCTCTATGGTGTAGGCTTTTCTAGGCCAACGTGTTTGGCCTCCAGTGTTTATTTGACACCATTGATGGATTCCTGTCCTTACTGCGGTGCTCTGCAGCCTGCTCCCAGCAGGGGCTGGGTGCTGGTTTGGCCACTGCGGTGGTTATCCAGCCCTGGGGGAGTCTCTCCCAGCCAGGCAGTGCAGGGGGATCGGCCCTGGCTTCCCTCAGCCCTCCTGTAAAGAACATACTTGTTTAAAGTTTTTGGCTCTGCGTGGCTCTGCCTCGCTTCGCGTAGCTCCAGACAGTACACTCATAACGATGTGAAGTGAAGGCTTCCTGAGCAAGATTGGCTGCAGGTTTGAAAACAGGAGGTTGCAAGCACCGCAGGTAATAAAAGCAGTCCTGCTGCGTGCTGTAGTGGGATTTGGCATCACCACGCCGTGCGTGCAGCTTACATATGCCCGGGGTAGCAGAGGTCCTGGTTAGCGGGCTTCTGGAGATGGAGCGACTGTGCCCACCTTCCCTCAAGGTGCTGCCCTCTCCTTGCCTCAACAGACTGTTTTCTTTCGGCCTACAAACCACCATGGCCACTTATTTGACTAAAGCAAGATGTGGTGAGCATTTACGGGCCATTTCCTTTCTGCCTAAATCTTCTTAATGCAGTCTTAGCCTATTGTTTGTGCTCTACCTTCAGCCATGGTTACTAAACAGAAGGTTCAAAGAGGGTCCTACAGGAGATGAGGATTTTGCACAAATGTGCACATGCGTGCACACAAACACACTTCAGTAGAAAGCACTGGTTTTCTGTGATTTGGTTTTACTGAATCACACTTAAATCAAGCCATTTTTTTCCCACTGTCCTTATAATCTTTTACTAGTAGTTTTTATGCTGCGTCTGTGATGTGTTTTGCATAGTGTGGTAGTTTTGCAAACATGAAGATGTTAAGCTGCTGCTACCACCACTACTTGCACTGAAATGGGTAGTCTTCTCCCCCTCTGGTATCCACCACTCTGTCTAGTGCCAGCCTAAGCAGGGATGCAGCTGCTCAGGGAACTAAAATCTGAGAGAAAAATTGACTTTTTTTCATTTTCTGCCATATCTGACCCAGTCAAGCAACTACATGGTTTTAGCTCATAAGAGCAGAGAATAAGGACAATGTTTAAGCTCACCTAAGTAGGTTTGGAACTGCAGTGACGGAGTGATGGTATCTGGCCGTGTGCCAGCAGGAGTTAGAGGGCTGATGATTCTGGGTTATCCTCTTTAAGTAGGTGTTTTGATTTTTTTTTTCCCCCTTGATTATTATACTGGATATTTATGGCTTTTTTAATATTCAAGGCTTTGCTCAAACTTCTTGTTCGGCTTCAAAGCCAAGGTGATTAATGTGTTTTATGGGTTGAAAGAACAGTTGATGTAAAGGACTGAAAAAACAGATATAAATGACAACATTTTACTGAGAATTCATAGTCTTTGAGGTCCTTCTCTTAAGCAGTAGTCAAGTAGTAGTGGTAGTCCAGTGCTTCCTGGAGGCTTGCAAGAAGTGGCAAAGTCTAAAACTTAATGCATCTTCAGCTGATTGTTCTCATGAATTTGATTAGTCTTTGACCTTTTTGCTTCCGAGTAGCAATTTGGGGCTTATTCTCCAAGTATGCTGGTGTTCAGATTTGCTACCCTGGTAGGTCTACTGAAGCAGTGATGAAGTTAGAAGCAGCAGGACTGCATGCAACTGCATCTCTGGTGTCTGCATCTCAGATGGTGGTGTCATTCATCCTTACATCTCTCAAGGTTTGGAAATAACTGTAGCATGAGGAGCAGCAGAGTGGATAATACAACTTCAGTTGGTTATTTGTGTTGGAATGTGGAAGTTGTAGTTTATCAGACTGGTCCTTTCTCCATCCTCTATTGCAGACAGAGTGTCGTAATTACGTGCGTGTCTTGCAACAGCTGAATGAGACTTTCCTCTATGTGTGTGGAACTAATGCATTTCAGCCAACCTGTGATTATCTGGTAAGAATGTACTTGTGTTTTGGTCCAATATTAACTTTAAAAGTGGCTCAGGTAAACAAAGAGTTAATCTCTGCTCCCACAGACTATTGCAATTTTAGTGCCATAGCCTTTGAAGCATTTATGATGCTGTCTCTCTGTAATGGTAGAAAATGGAAATACATTGTAGTGTTCCCTTTTCAAAGCTTTTAATGAATTATTGATTCACCTGGCTTAACTTTTTTTCTTAGATTTCATAACACTCTGTTTATTCTACATTAGCTGAAAGATAGTTTCTAGAACTGGAATGACATTCTTTGTGACTTCTGTCCACTTCTGACTTTCCCTGAAATTTTTCAGATTCCTGTCTCTGCTTGTCTTGTCTCTGCTGCTGGCTATGCCATAGCTCCATAATGCTAAATACTTCAGAATGAAATCTTGGCTCAAAATCAAAACTCACATTTCCTGACTGTTAGCATTCTGCATAACGTGCATCTTGCATGATTCTGGAGTTCAGAAATCCTCTAATTTTTATTTCTTTATTCTTTCTTGTCTCCCCCCTCCGTAAGTCTATATGCCATCACCTATCTGCTGCAATGCCAGAATTCGTTGTCCTTAGCCTATGGTGACTCTTAACATGCAGTAACACATGATCATTTCCACAGTTTTGTTGCTATAGTTCTCAGTCATCTTGCTGATCCTTATTCTATCAATCTTTAAGGGATTTGTAAGGTAGTAGCTAAACTACTCTGTTGCTATTTAAAACGTGGTTGGATTATGTCTCATTTTGCAAATATAATGTCTTTCTACAAATTGCTAAATCTACTTCAGAATGCTGTCTTGATTTCTAAAACTCTCCTATTTTGTGCCATCTAATTTAATAATTGTCTGGTTTTCCTGTTCAGCAAATGACTCCTCTGCATTTCCTGTTGTTGGGCTTTCTGGGTGTTATCACTTAAGCTGTCCCTCTCTATCTCAGTTTGTCTTTTTGCCTCTGTTCTGTGCTTGCTCTTGCTCTCCAAAGTCATAGGATCATGTTTTTTCCTTCTGTTGGAGTTCAAAAGATTCTCTGAAAATGCATATGCCTTTTACAGTTTGGAAAACATGTATTTGATGTTGACAGTTGATTAAACTGTCTGTTTTTTAGTACTGGCTTTTCAAGTATTCAGTCACCTGACGTGCAAAGCTTTAAAAAAATATATATTGCTTCCTGGTTTTCAATCTAACTTTTTTGCAGAATTTAATTTCATTTGAGCTTGGAGGTAGAAATGAAGATGGTAAAGGTAGATGTCCATTTGATCCTGCTCAAAGCTACACATCTGTTATGGTTGGTAAGTTCAGTTTGGCATAGCTAGTCATTATATAAAACCACTTGGTCTTTTTCCTCCGGTGCTAACCAGACCCTCTCAAGATGCTAGATTTGGTTCTGATCAGCAAAATCAGATTTTTTATCTGTATCATGGTGTAGTAAGATCATAAAAGATGAGTTTAAAGTAACACAAAACAGGAAATGAAAAAGAACACACACGCATTGCATTGTCCTCTCAATTCTTGAAAAATTTAGTTTCATTATTGCTGGCATAGAGGAGGAGGCAAAATAATTTTGTTCCAAAACTTCTTTGGGTAATTTGCATTTTCCTACATAAATCGCACATTTATGTATTAAATGTTGAAATACCACATGAACAGTGATGCCTCTGTTACTTGTTTGTGTTACAGCAATAATAAACCAAGTATTAGCTTTAAAAATGGTCAGCAGAGATATAAACATAGAAGTATGTCTGAGGCAATTCAAAGGAAGTCTTTGTTTATCTTTTCTTATGGGAAGTTTGAGCTAACATATTCTCTTGAAATATTTATGTACTTCTTTGGTCTAAAATATTTGTTTTTGTGTTGAAGATGAGGAGCTTTATTCTGGGACTTCTTACAATTTCTTGGGAAGTGAACCTATTATTTCACGAAACTCTCATCAGAGTCCTTTGCGAACAGAATATGCAATACCTTGGCTTAATGGTAAGTGGGTGTGAGAACAGGCCAAAACAAATCACGTTTCCTTCTTCAGAGTTACAGCAGCAGACAAATAATTTAAGTTCCTTATCGGAAGTAAGGGGTGATTGCTTAATACCTCAAAGGTAATGTTTTTTTTGTTGTACAGGCATATGCTGACCTCTGAGTGCATCCAAGAGATTTCATTTTGAAAATTCAGGATTTGTTTCCACTGTGCCACAGGAGGAAAAAAAAAAACAGAGACATACAGGCTCTGATTTTATGGTAGCACTGCAGTTTGTCTTGCATTCACTTGTTCATCTTAACTGTTTTACAATATAGCTTGGAATAAAGAGGAGAATGTCTTTTGTGTGACATATATTTTTGATTTTAACTGAACATGGTTGGTGATTTTTTTTTAGTTCCTGAATTTCAGATTTCATGAGTTTCGTGAAGGCACAAAAGTTTTCTACCAAAAAGGACAAAAAGCATGAAGCTGGCCTGCTTCAGATGCTACATTATTGCCAAAAGCTACAGCATACTGAGTTTTGTAATATATTTACTTTCATTGCTTCTAGTGTTCTAGTTAATAGCACAGATTTTAAGGGAGTGGCACCAAGCCTACTTTAGGGAATCTTGCAAGAGAAAAAATGAATTACATCTTAATTTTTATTTGTGCTCTGATTTTACATATTAGGGCTTGATGACAAGGATATGATTATGTGTATTTGAAAGCCAGTAGGATTTGGAAGCGTAGTTAGTGCTTTTGGGGATCTTATTTTTTCCCCATGGCTATGTAGACTCTGTAAGAGGGTTGACTTATCCATTGGATTTGCAGGTGTTGCTGGCTGGCCAAGCCTGGTGAGTTGTTGCTTACAGGTCTCAGCTAATTCTGTCATCAAAGATGATGAACCAGAGTATGCTGTTTCCCCTCTCTAAGCTTGTGTTTTGTCTAGGGAACGTCTTGTTTTTTGGCTAGGGAGGGAAGAGGCAGGCAAGGGAGGATAACTATTAATACCTGTCAGAAAATCACTCTTGAGTGTGGGCTGAAAAGTATGAAGTAACGAGATATCAAATCTTAGAGATCTCTCAGATCCCTAAGTCAGTTTGTGTTTCAATGCAAATGTTTTACATAGTTTTTTCTCTCCAGTATTTCTGGTTTTTAGAAGGGATGCTGGTGGGCCTAACAACAAACTGTGTAGGCAGGTCACCAAATGGAGAGCTGTTAAATGTAAGAGGAGATATGGGGCAAAGAGGACTCCTAAACAATCTCAGAGGGAATTAAATTTGAAGGGTCATATTTAACAGAAAATTCTTCTCTCAATTTGTATCTGCAGAGCCCAATTTTGTGTTTGCTGATGTGATTAGAGCTGATCAGAATGGCACAGATGGAGAAGATGACAAGATATATTTCTTCTTCACTGAGGTGTCTGTGGAGTATGAGTTTGTTGGAAAACTGATGATTCCAAGAATAGCTAGAGTGTGTAAGGTGGGACATAGTTCTTTTTCCTGTACTAACTTAAATAGATTTTTAAGAGTAAAAAACTCTAATTACTGTGGACTTTTTTTGTGCAATTTAAGTGGAAATGATCAAACTTATTTTTAGCAAATAAGGAGTTTTAATTAGTTCTTCATAACTCAAAGTCTAGTTTGCAATGTGGGACCAACACTTGTTTCAATGCTTGTTAAGTGCTGTGTTTTCAGTAAATCTCATTAGTAAAGTAAAAATTAGAAATAATAATGTAAAAATAAAGAAATGTATCCCTTTTTATATTTTATTATTTTGCTATTTTAAGTTTAAGTACAAACCCCTGGAAAAGGAAGAAAAAAAAGATTTTCACTGGAGATAGGATAAGCCATTTCGAGGTAGCTGCAGACAAACAAACCTGCATTCCACTGTAGACACGACTAGTTCTTGACCTCAGTGTAGCAGATGGGACTTCCACGACTCTGTTGCGCTTAATGCTTAAACCTCAATATATAAGGCCAAGTCAAGTACACAGTTGGCAGTGCTGGTTAAAAATCTTCATACGAAAGGTCTTTTTCTAGTAGAAAACACTGATTTAGCAAAAACCTTTGACCTGGAATGAATCAATTTCCTCATTTTTTTCATCAGGAAGCCTATCTAGTTATTTCATTTTGATGAGGTTGAAATGTTTTATTTTGATTTAGCTGTTTTGTATTTAAACATGAAAGTCAAAACATCAATAACAAGTTAGTGCCCTTGAGATTTCCATTAAGTAAGCAGCTGTAGGCAGGTTTACATGCAGCTTATTAATATGGCCTTCTGCCCGCCAGCAGCTTGCCCATGCTTTAAAATGGGAATATTGTAGAATATGAAAGTGTTTCATTGCTACTGCCCATTTAAAACAGAAGGTAATGGCAGATTGCAAGACTAGAGGCATTTATATGTAGTTCTCTCTTGAAATTTTGCAGATTTTCCTAAATATTTTGGGTTTTGGATTGCTATCCAATAACAAACAGGAAACAGATTTTTTATTGTTGTTGTTGAAATGTATACTTTTGAAAAGAAGTAATGAAGTTGTCGCTTGACAATCAAATACTTTGAAACAGCTTTTAGTCAATAAGTCTTTTTTTTTTTTTTTTTTTTTTTAAAGCCTTGACCTGGCAAATTCTTAATAAAGAGGGTAACTGGTTAAGGGAGTAGGCAGTCATGTGTTTCTTCTGATGAAACGGTGCAAGCTAATTGCATACAGTGTGGCTTGCCCCTTTCAGGGACAAGTGCCTCCATGCTTATTTTAACTGCTGTAACAAACATGCTTTTTGATGAATGTTCAATTAACCAGGCATTTTGAAGGTGCAGTTGCTGTGTAAGCCTTATGTCTCATCCTATCCCCGTGTGTTGAGACAAACCACAATGTAATTTTTTTAAAGCACTTTTCCTTTGTTTTCCTTATACTTTTATGCCTATGAATATGTTAATATTTCTTGAATGTTGCCATAGATTACTCATGAGAGAATATCAGAGTTTCCATAGTTCTGTGCTGAGTACTGGTGGTTCTTGAATGAAAAAAAAAAATTCTAATCCCTCTGTTCCCACAATGCATCCTTTTTCTTTTTCTTTTTTTTCCTTGAAAGAGGGACCAAGGAGGATTAAGGACTTTGCAGAAAAAATGGACTTCCTTTCTCAAGGCCAGATTGATTTGTACCATACCTGATAAAAATTTAATCTTCAATATTATCAATGATGTTTTTATTCTGAAGTCCCCAAGTCTGAAGGAACCGGTGATTTATGGAGTTTTTACCCCACAACTGTAAGTGCGACACAGTCTTTCCAGGATGAGTGCTTTCATCTTGGTTGCCACAACAAGAAAAAAATACTCTGGTATTGATATTCCTTTTTCCTTTCTCTTTTCTTTTTTTTTCTCCTTTTTTCTCGCCTTTTCCTCCTTTTTTTTTCTCACCTTTTCCTCCTTTTTTTTTGCTCGCCTTTTCCTCCTTTTTTTTTGCTCGCCTTTTCCTCCTCTTTTTGCTCGCCTTTTCCTCCTTTTTTCGCTCGTTTTTCCCTCCTCTTTTTGCTCGCCTTTTCCTCCTCTTTTTGCTCGCCTTTTCCTCCTCTTTTTGCTCGCCTTTTCCTCCTCTTTTTGCTCGCCTTTTCCTCTCTCCTCCTCTCCTCCTCTTTTTCTGTTTTTAGGAATAACGTGGGTCTATCAGCAGTGTGTGCATACAATCTATCTACTGTGGAAGACGTTTTCTCAAAAGGAAAATATATGCAGAGTGCTACAGTAGAACAGTCTCATACAAAGTGGGTGCGCTACAACGGGGAGATCCCTAGTCCTCGACCTGGGGCGGTAAGTTCCTGTAACCGTGGATCTGATGGCTTGTTACATGCAAGAGTGAAGAAACTAGGAAAAAATACAGATAATTTACAAATTATGGTTGTTAGTAACTTTAGTAGTGTTAGTTTGCCCTGATCTAGATGCTTCTGTTGTAAAGACTCTGAGAAAATTGCTTCACATGGTTTGTCCTAAAGTTTCTATTTGAGAATTATTTAAAGTTTTTTTTGTTTGTTTGGAATTTTTTATGTGCAGTTTTCATGTTTTCATTATGTCATTACTAATTTTCTAGTGATGAAATAAATGTTTGTGCATGTTTGGTATCACCAGAGACCAGCAGAGCACAAGTGCGGCTATTCCTGTGCTAACTTCTTAGTTTCAGCAGGTTTATCCAATGTAGTGCTTTCCTTTGTCCACCATGCTAGACCATTTCCAAACTTTTTCTCTGTTTTTTTTTAAACTTTCTTCTCTTTCTGCAGTCACTTTGTTGCAGTTTCTGAGGAAGATGACAGTTAAAGATAGCTAAGAAGCATGGGAGTCTGGAAAGGAGATTTTTCCTAAAATACGTTTTGGTCCCAAGCAGAAGTATAGTCCTAAGCTCAGAGACTATTACTTTGCACTAATACTTAAGAAGTTACAAAAATGAGTATGTTCCTGACAGAGTAAAATTAGAGTATGTAAGGGTGTGCTTAATGGCAAACCAATGCACAGAAAAAAATATCTGTTCCTGCTGTTAACCTGTGTTGTGTACAAGCAAGGGGTATAATCTGTGTGTTTTTTTTTTTTTTTTTTTTTTTTGTCAGTTTTTAAGCAACAAAGCTGGGGCATCGAGCTACACAAGTTCTCTGAATTTACCAGACAAAACACTGCAGTTTGTTAAAGATCACCCTCTAATGGATGATTCAGTGACCCCAATAGGAGATAGACCCCGACTAGTAAAACGAGATGTCAAGTACACCCAGATTGTAGTAGACCGAGTCAGAGCACTCAATGGTACCATATATGATGTCATGTTCATTGGTACAGGTGAGTTTTTCAAATGCTTTGTTTTAATGAAAATACATGGATTATTTAGGATAAAATGTGCTGTGAGAGGAATCAGAAATTCCCATATTTGCAGTCATTTTACCTCAGCTGGTATGTTGTTTTTAAAGGTGAGAGAGCCTAAAAGTGAGAGGCAAGTAGGTGAAGAATCTGGCATGTTTGAAGAACTACTTCAAGAAAGAGAACCAAAGAACTGCAAAAACTACAGTGAAAAAAAATAAGTGAATATAGATCATTTGCTGTCCTGAAACAGTATTTTTGCTCATTTCCTTTTTATGTAATGGTTGCCTTTGGCACAGAACTGTGTGAAGTCTTTTGTTAAACATCAGGGAGAATATTGAGACGAATTACAGCAAGTGTGCAATTTTTTTTTGTCTTTCTGTTGTAAGACTCTTTGTGAAATGTGTTGGCTTGTAATTTCAGATCAAGGAGCCCTGCACAAAGCTATCAGCTGTGAAAATGGAATGCATATCATAGAAGAAACACAGCTTTTCCCAAACTTTGAGCCAGTCCAAACTCTCTTGCTTTCTTCAAAAAAAGTAAGCACCATAAGCTTGTGTCTCTTTTTGCACTTCCGCAAGACTTTAAGAATTTATATTTAACTATATTTAATGTAGTAGGTAAGTGGTAAGCTTCTGGAACTCTTAAGATGGGCAAGATGGGGCAAGCAGTGTGCTGGGCTTTCCTTCAATCTCTAGTACAGGAGCTAAAAGCCATGATGTGTTTAAAGGTACCATGATGGGGTAGCGTAAAAATCCTGACCCCTTGTGGTCGTTACATATCCATGAAGAAAAATCTGAAGGAATGTAGTGGAAGAGTCTATTTTTCTGAGGAAATTAACCTAAGAAGACAGCTGTATATCTAGCAGAAAGACTTATTGTCTCAAATAGTAAAATTGATTGAGTTCAATTGCTTATATGATGGGTTCTTGTGGGGTAGCTTTATTGTGAGAGTGGGCAAATTAGTGTCAACGGTGGTATTATGTGCCAGCTGGGATTTCTCATTACACTCTACTTTCCAGCTGGAATTCCAACTGCAGCTCCAACCGGAAAATACTTGCTTTGCTGCAGGCTCTAAGCTCAGTGGTTGTTCTGCATTATTAAACAGTTACTGGGTTTAATCCCAGGGTGATTTTGTGACAGTGGGAAGATAATCAGTGTGTGTACTTTGAGTGCTAGTTAGCCTTCTGCTCCTACTTATTCAGACCTTTAGGTTCCTAAATACTCGTGATAATTCTGCCGTGAACAATGGTTTTCAGTATCACTCCCCTCAGTTGTTGAAACTTCTTGGCTTCTTGAGGAAAAAAAATGATTTTATTGTTTTTATTTTTTGCATTTATTTTGAGGTACCTGGTAGTGATACTGACCTTCAGTGAATACCTAGGGATCAATAATTGTTTTGAAGTTAAAGATTTAGGAATACTGCCAAGGTATCTCAAAAGCAACATTTATTTTTGTGATGTTTAACAAACTTTGCTGATGTGATCAACTTTACCAAAAAGAGCTTTATGCTCTTGTATCTCAGTAGCACTCACGTTCAAAATAAAGCAGAATATCGTGAAGATGGAATACGCTTTTGACAGGTGAATCAACAGGGTAGTGCAGACTTCCATGTTCAGACATTTCAGTTAAATGTGTATTATTTGTGTGTGTGTGTGTGTGTGCATTGGTGTATATATAATGCAATTTTCAAGCACTGTATGGCTGAAATTCTGAAGGTAAGTTTACTATACTTGAAAGATAGGATAGTTCTTATCTTCGTTGTATTTGAATTTGTTTAATGAAAAAAAAATGCAAACATACTAATATTCTCCCAAGGGAGTAACTTTACCACAAATATGATTTAAATTCAACACACAGCAGATGTCTTTGCTTACTTACCAAGTTATTTTGGTTATTTCTTCTAGTCTTCTTTTACAGTATTTCTTGGTTCTGTCTTTTTCTCCAAAGTTACTTTGATTTCCCTTAATTACATAGATACTACTCTAAGCAGATATATATGTTGTGCATTCAACATCCGTAGGGTCTTTTTCTGATTTTGTCTTTTAAATGATAGTACTTTGGCTTATTTTCAAACTTGCATACAAGGACATAAAGGGCAAGGGATTTATCCCTCTTACCTGTAAGGAAAAGGATGGTGAATGCTGACTTGATAATCTCTTATTATGGCTATATATGTTTGTAAATACTTTCAGTACTCCTTCATCTGAAAAGAAGGCTTCCAAAGATTTGATTTGACTGGAGGTTTCAGCATCTGTGATAGAAAATAATAATAGATAACACTTCCAATAAGTTCTTTTAAGGGTCAGTCTCTTAATTATGGGTAGAAGATGTAGTTCTTCATATACTGGTTTAATTATGGTCCTGTTATTTTTTTGGAAGGGATAGGTGTTACAGCCTCATACTAAACAGACATCTAACAATTTCAGCCCATACCTGGTAGTTGAGACTAGCACAGAAATGACAGCACTGATTTTTTTTTTTTTTTTTTTTTAATCTCTGAACCAAGTGCCAAGTTTTAGCTTAATCAAGTATAGTCCTCTAAAAGAGGCTAATGTGAACAGAGCATAAGGACACATAAAGAACATGCACCTTTTTACAGAGAAAGAGCTTTCAAAGCTTAGGGTTTAAGCATAACAGTATGTCCTGCAAAGCACTGTGGACCAGTAATGTTGTGTCTTGAGCAAGTAAAAACCAACTTGTTGGTGGAGCAACCGGCACCTATTACTGAAGCAAAGCTATCTAGTATACTCTCAAAAAATCTCGAGTCCTGTTTGGGGACGAGGTACATGGAGGTTGAGCTCGGATGCCAGAAACATGAATGTCATGTTATTGTGGTACCATCTAAGCTGGGGTTATTTCTGCTTCCTGCCTTGAGAGGATGTAAAAGCATTCTTTCCTTGGACATCCAGTAAGCAACAACAGGTAGTTACTACTGAAGTCCTTCACAAAATTGGTGTTTGTAAATGTTTAGTGTCATCCCATAGCAGAACTATTCACCAGCACAACAGCCCTCTGGAGGAAGAATCTTTCGGTAGTCTCTGAACTCTCCCTGTAACTTGCCCTTGTCTCAAAGGCAGTAGTCAGATGAGCCTGTAGTCAATACTGGTGACTTGGGTTTGACCAAGAGATTTGTTTTTGAAATTGTCTCCTCGGCTCTCCTGGTCTTCTCTGTACTTCCTGGACGTAGTAGCTTGGTCCTACACAGAGATGCTGGAACCCATGCACAACGTCATGCACAGCGTTCCCCTGTCAGCACGTGTGTCAGCTGACAGAGCCTAGAGAGCTGGAGGGCTCACTGGGCATCAGAGGAATCTTTGACTGAGCTTTCTGAGGTAGTTAAAGGTACCCTAAGTTACATGGTGAGATCAAAGACTGCATTTGAATGTATGTCGCTGAAAGCTGGTTCTCTTTCATAGCACATCTTCCAGCAGTGCCAGCATTTTCTTTTGTGATCTTGTTGCATCTTGCTGTACTCTGGAGTTCCTTGAGAGTCTTCTGCATGCTGCAGTGGGTTTGAGGGACCCACCTTGACTTGTGCTTGTTCTTGTAAACTGACTTAAGGAGTCTACTGAGACTCAGAACACTCTGTTGGTTAGTTTGCTTTTAAGCAGACTTGCCGGTGGTCAATGCATTCAGGAAAAAGACTGCTCTGAGTTCTTGTTGTCAGTATCTCTATATCTCTTCAAGGAAAGTTGATAGTGAGCTCCAAAACATAAATTTAGTCCTGAAACACTGTTAGTTATTTTCCTGAAAGTGTTCTTCAATGTTCAGGACCGAAAGTCCATACCTTGAATGTGATGTGTTTTAAGAATTTTGCTTTTTACTAGCAAAGTTTTTTTTTTTTTTTTTTTTTTTTTTTTTGGGGGGAGGGGGATATCTGCCCATCATCTTGTGACCATGTTCATCTTGCCAAAGAGTCAAGACAACCACAGAGTGGATATTTCTACATGCTGAGATCCGTATGGCTGCAGCCCAGGAAAAGCCACTTAGAGGTGGATCAGACTTGCTGTGCCAATTGCTGGAGAATACTGATATGTTCACTCAGTATTCTACTCAGGATAAAATCAGTCCACTGCCAAAGTGGGATATGCTTTTCAGCTTTGTACACACAGCCTCTCAAAATGCTGGAGACTAGGTCTGTGGCGTTTGGGGTTGTAGTGTGGGGGGTCTTCTCTGAGGCTTTGCATTATAAAGAATAAATTTAGAGTTCACTCTGAGCTGTTGGTTTCTACAAACTCTAAAACAGATGAATGAAATATGCCGCTGGCTACTGTTGATGGCAAGGATGCTCAGACCAGACCAGAGTCTGGTCTTTTCCAGAGGGCATAGAGTTGGATTTGTTTGTAAATGGATCTCCAGTTGTCTATAGGTCATTCCATTTATCCTCCCCTTTTGCTAAGCATTGTGCCAGCGTACTAGGTGTTCTTTGGTAGAAAGCAAACAGATTCAGCCCGATCTCAGCAAGCTGAAAGGGATGGAGCAGTGGAGATGCAACTGGAAGAGCCGAAGGCAGTAGGGCAGCTTTGAGAGTAGGGGAACAGTTGTAATATGGAAAGCCTTCCTTTCCGGAAGTGTCAACACACACAGATCTCACTTTATACAGAGATTGTCAATGCATTTGGTACTTTTGGAAAAACATAAGAAAGCCATATTTAGCTGTTTATTTTCCTTTCTTGTAGAGGATAGTTATTTCAATTTTGTCTTCTTTTTGTCTTTTTTTGTATCACCAACAATTTTCAAGATCTGTTTCCTTCTCAAATAAAGTCTTATCAAAGCAAATGACCATTTCCCTCAAGTACCATCTTTTACAAACATACAGCTGTATCTTTTGCATCTATTTACTTTTAATCATTTTAATTGTTTGATGAATTTAACTTACAGAAGGTGATTAGCTTTTTTTTTTTTTTTTTTTTTTTTAATCTTTAGGGCAAAAGATACCTCTATGCTGGCTCAAATTCTGGTGTGGTTCAGTCTCCTGTGGCATTCTGCGATAAATACACCACTTGTGTGGACTGTGTTTTAGCAAGGGATCCCTACTGTGCTTGGAAACCCCTTGAAGGTTCCTGTGTGGATATCCTTAAAGAAGGAGACATTGAAAGGTAAAGGCAGCACTTGGTTACCCTACAAGTAGAATTTAAAACTTCACATGGGCACTGTAGATGTTCACTTCCTGTTGAACTTCTTAAAAGGATTTTATTTTTGCAATATTGTGTCAACCTCGTTCCTTACTTATAACTAGGATCTTTTTAACTGAATGTTTTCAAAAACACACTTTCTCTTATCCATTAATTAACATCTTTCAGAACTGTCTGTTTGCACTATTTAGGTGATATAAGCCTCCTTTAGTGTAGGAGAGTGGGAGAGATGTAGGAAGCAAGCCTTGAAGTTGTAATGCTCTTTTTTTTTTCTTTAAAACAGGAATTGGATTCAGAACATAGGTGGAGATGCTTCCTCTTGTTCTGGTAAGATACAGCCTTTAAAAGGCCATTTCCCATATCTTAGTGGAGTAGTGAAAAAGGGTTCTGTTTTAATTAGATTGGATTTCTGTGTTTGTCTTAATATGTGTTATATTTTTCTGTGTATGAGATCCTGCTTTTTGGTGTTTGAGCGTCTTTCCAGCTCACATAGCATCTGTGTTCATGTACATTGAAGTGTGTGGTGCACAAACTTCCTAAGTGAACTGGGGCAGCGCAATAGCAGCTTGAGAAAGGAAGCGATATTTACCGTAGGTATTTCTGGTTCAGAGGCCTGTGTGTTTGTGATGTATCACTGGGGATTCTGCGCTTAGCCTTGGTAAGTGCTTGATTGTTGTTGTTGGATCAGATGAAATAATGCTGAGAAGAGCTGTTTTTATGATGAAGTGGAGGGCGCGGGGGGGTTAAGAACATCATACAGAGCAGCTGAAGTGCTCTCCAGTGTTTTAAGGCAAGTAATTGCAGGTCATTTTTTTTTTTTTTTCTGTAGCACATATTACTGCTTAGCAGATCAAGGAGGTCTTAAATGAGTAGTAACGTTTCGGGAGGTTTGTATTGCAGTAAACAAAGATTTTAAGAGTTTGCTTTACTGTGTACTGTTAATCCGAGCATTGCATATGTTACCGTAGGAGTTTGTTGTGTTTGTTAGTTACTCTGAGTTACCATCCTGTTTTCTGGGTGTGCTGACATTTTTAGAAGAGAGTTTGAGTTAAGAGTGGTGTCCTGAGTAACCACACTTTATTCAGTTTCCATTTGGGTAGTTTATAGTTACCAATCTACTTAAAATGCCCTAATTGGGTGTAAACTCATTCCAGGTTCAGCATCTTGTTTCAAACAGTGACTCAGCTCATGCATAACTCAGTTGTGGATCAACAAGGTCTCATCCTATTTCTCTGCAAGTAGAAGCTGTTTTAAGCTTTGGGCTATCCTGTCTCTTAGTCTCTTTTGACATTTCATTATGATGTCTAGGATTTCACTCAGGTTCTTGCATGCTGTTTTCTTGTTCTCGTGTGGTAATTGTAATGCTGTAACCTTTATGTTTCTGTCATGAGTAGCGCAGTCTCATGAAACTATACAGATTAGTGCAAGCAAAAATCATTGCTGATACTCTGCAAATTTATTTTGATGTTCCAGATAAAGTAAGAGAGAATTCTCTACAGCATACATTCAAGCACGGGAGCACAGCAGAACTCAAATGTTCTCAAAAGTCCAATCTGGCACAGGTAGTTTGGAAGTTCAAGGATGACGTACTGAAAGTGGAGAGCCCCAAATACCGTCTGCTGGAAAAAGCATTGCTCATCTTCAATTTATCAGAAGGAGACAGTGGTGTTTATCAGTGTTTGTCAGAAGAAAAAGTGAAGAATAAGAAGTTTTCTCAAGTGCTGGCTAAGCATGTTTTGGAACTGAAAAAAATCCATCATACTACAGCAGGCCCAACTGTGGCAGCTGCGACAACAAAAGGTAATAGCGATGTACCAAAAGTGTCGGCTGTGCCATCCCCAGGGTCTACTGCTCAGACCTCGACCACCCAGATCATGCCAGTAACAACAGCAAGGATCATAACAAAGCCAATTGGCCCTGTCCTCACAAGTGCAGCCTCCAACACAGAGATCTTCAATGCCATTCCTGATGCGGTCCCAGAAAAGACAATGTTCCTAAAGTCAAACGATAACTTCCTTTTAATGTTCCTCTTCTTGTTCTTTTTCATTCTTTTCTTGTGTCTGCTGTCCTACAACTGTTACAAAGGGTATTTGCCAGGCCAGTGCTTGAAATTTCGCTCTGTTTTGTTGCTTGGTAAGAAAAAAAACAAGTCAGACTTTTCTGACTGTGAGCAAAGCGTGAAAGAAACCCTGGTGGAGCAGGGCAGCGCCAGCCAGCAGAACGGGGAGCAGCCGAAGCCGGCCCACGACACGGGCTACGAGACCGAGCCGGACTGCGGGAACGGCCAGGTGCAGCCGGGAGAGCCGCCGGTCCCCGAGGCGCGGAGCGGTGTTGGTGCGCGCGCTGCCCAGCACGCCGGCTTCCTTGCAGATCTCACCGGATTAGAGCAGCAGTGCTTTTGTCTGCAGATAACAGCATCTTGTATCGTACGCCTTTTTTTTCTTTCCTTTTCTCTCTTATTTTTTAATTTTATTTTTAAATGGCCAGTTTCAGATCCCCCACCAAAAGGCCCCAAGATGTTTTTTCCCCAGAGTGCTTCGCTCTGGCGAGTAGTTACTCATTCTTTGACCCCGTTCTTCCACTGAGTGAAAATGACTTTCTAACGTGGTTGGTTTTAAAAAGCACTTCAGTCTGCACGTATTTTAGCTGCCATTAAGAAAAAAAAAAAAAGAAAAGAAATAAAGTTTCATTTTAATTCCAAATTGGAAATTAAGTTTAGTTTATCAGATTGGTAAATTATAGACTTTTGTCCAGATTGGGACATTTTATTTTCTTTTCTTTAGTGGTTATTTTTAGTTTGTGGGTTGGCACCCTAGGTCTCTTTTAGTTAAAGTTGCTGAAGTTTTTCTTAACTGCTTTTGAAGTACCTTCTAGATTTTAAAATGAAAGGGGATAGTTTTGGCTTGATTAGGTAAGACTCAGGGATAATCTTGTTTAAAGGCTCTTTTCTCTGATACTTGTTAGAAATTTAGGTACAACAATAATACCAGTTCAAAATACTTGGGCTGGAATAAGTTGGGGATATAAGAAAATATAGATATAGGATTTTTTTTTCCATAATCAGCAAGCTGGACATAATCACATTCTGTCTTCTATACAGAACTGGATATTTTGGTTTTCTTTCTGTTCAGTTTTTTAATGAAATGGTACAGGCAAGCAGCTGTCACATCGCCATGACACAGAGAGAGTTTTGCGCTGTGGAAGCAAAGCAGGAATTGAGAAGAAGTCGCTGTGATAATTCAGTTAGCAACTTGCCAGAATGGACTGTTCGGATACAGCCTGATAAGAAAACATTGCAGTTGATTTTACTTTTTCAGATTCAGAAATAACACAACTTCTTTTTGTGACAAATCTTTGCAACGTCACCCTTTCCGGATGGCACCCACCGATCTCCTATGCAACTGGAGTCTGAAACTGGAGCTGCTCAAACAATCAGTCACTTGAACTGTTCATGTGAATCATGCCTGCAGAAGTGAAAATGTGCATTTGTTGTAGCCTGGTTCACAGCAGCACTGTTTGTCTGTAAAAGCATTTTGTGCGGTACAGTCCTGAAGAATTGTTCCTCTCGCTGCGTCTTCTCTGTAAATATTGCTAGAAGTAGAGTATGTTCTAACAGTAAATAGCAGTATGCCTGGGCTGCTTTTTTATGTTGAACTTTCATGCAACCATAACTTTGACTGTCTTAGTGTGAACAGTTTATATTTTATAAGATTCAGTTTGGTTTTATTTTTCTATTTTTAATTGTGTACATATAAAATGACAGAATAAATATTAAAATAAATTGTATTATATCTTGGCTTTTATGAAATTTGACATGGTGGAACTACTTTCCATCTTGTTAATGCTGAAGTTTCTTGGGGTTTTCTTTAAGGGGTGCTGTGGGGGACGGGGGAACTTTTGTACTTCGTTTGAAATAGATTCTCTTTTTAGTAGTGCACTTGAAATAGGTTCTCTTTTCAGCTCTAACTGCATGGGTTGTGTATCCCTGGCAGGGACTGGAAGGATGGAGAAAGGAGTGTGGGTGAAGGAGGAAGGGGTTCTTTTCTGGCAGTCTAGGGCCATTTCCTTGTGCTACCCTTCTAAAATTCATTTGTGTTTTGGCATTATTTCTTCAGTGTGTGATGTGTTTCTGGCAACCTTTTTCCTTAGTACCCTCTTTTTTTTTTCTCTCTCTCCTGTCCTCTTCTGTCACACAGCCTCATCTCCTATACCTTTCCCTCCTACTGGTACCTCCTTTTTGTCCTGTGTGGGAAGTGACTCTCCTCCTTCACCCACCAGTGCCCAGCCTGACGTTTGGCCTGGCACAGACCCTCTAAAGGTCATGTTGTTGCCACCTTTCCTAAGTGACCAGGCACAGCATGTTAGTGTCCACGGAGCTTTTCACCTCTTCTGCCAAGCCACAGGTAAGCGCCAGGCGCGAGGCGGCCGCGCGAGG